TATATTTTATGTTACACTCCATGCTAACTGCTTTGCATGCATTATCTTGATCAATCTTCACAACATTCTATGAAATTAGGTTTTATTAATTTCCCTATTTTACCAAAAGGGAACCTGAAGAACAGAGAGAGTAAGTTTCTTTCCCAAGATCACAAAGCAGCTAAGTAGTAGAGCCAGGATTTGAGCTCATTTCATACTTTTAACCACTATGCTAACCTGTCTAATGAAGGTGCCCTAAGAGTGCTGCATGTATTATAGCTGCTGTGTAAAAATATATGTACTTTCAAGGGTCAGACAAGGGGCTGGGGATGAGGACCATTTATTTTCAGAAGTATTTCTCTTAAGGCTTAGAAAGTACAGGTCACCTAAATGAACTCAGACCTTCTGCTAGCCAAGATAAAAGGCTGGAAACACAAGGGGTCTGAGGTTATGAAGGCTCACATACCCCCTACCTAGTTCTTGGACTATGTTCAGAAAATAGTTTGTTTCTTCTGGCTGAGTCTCTTTAAGTACCCTCATAGTCACGATGGTGTTCTTTGGCCAAGGCATGAAGCCAGGCCATTTAGTGTCTGGCTCTCTACAGAATCTGGCCCCTCCTGGCAGCATGTATGAACAGCAGAGTAAGCGTTCTCCTGTGAGTGCTTCTGCCCATGTCCCGTGCCCCTCAGGTGCAGTATTGAGGATTCACACAGATGTTATTTATAGGAACTGGAAGAAATCCTAGGTCAGATGGTTCCTCCTGTTTCACAGATAAAGGAGCAGATCAGAAAGGTGGAGTGACTTGCCTAAAAATCACATATCAAGTTTTTAACAACAGAAATAGGATCCAGGCCTTCTGCCTCTGGTTCACACTATGCTTGCCATAAATATATGCTTAAAGCACATTTCTGTGGCTCTCTGGACCTCTGCACACAACTTATGTTGGGGGCATAGTTTACTTTCTATCATCTTTTAGGACAAAAAAGAAAAAAAAAGCCCATATAACACAGCTATTGTTTTTTTCTAATTGAAATATAGTCAGTTTACAATGTTGTGTCAATTTCTGGTGTACAACATAATAATTCAGTCATACATATACATACGTATATTCATTTTCATATTTTTTTCATTATAGGTTACTACAAGATACTAAATATAGTTCCCTGTGCTTTACAGTTGAAACTTGTTTATCTACTTGATATATAGTAGTTGTGTCTGCAAATCTCACACTCCCAATTTACCCCTTCCTATTCTCTTCCCCAACTGGTAACCATCAGTTTGTTTTCTATGTCTGTGAGTCTGTTTCTGTTTTGTAAATAAGTTTGTCTTTTTTTTGAGATTCCACATACGTGATATCATATGGTATTTTTCTTTCTCTTTCTGGCTTATTTCACTTACAATGACAATCTTAGGTTCATCCATGTTGTTGCAAATGGCATTATTTTATTATTTTTTGTGACTGAATTGTGTTCCATTGTATAAATATACCACAACTTCTTTATCCAGTCATCTGATAATGGACATTTAGGTTGTTTCCATCTTGGCTATTGTAAATAGTGCTACTATGAACATTGGGGTGCAGGTATCTTTTCGAATTAAAGTTCCTTCTGGATATATGCCCAGGAGTGGGATTGCTGGGTCATATGGAAAGTCTATTTTCAGTTTTTTTAAGGAATCTCCATACTGTTTTCCATAACAACTGCACCAAACTACATTCCTAGGAGGATTCCCTTTTCTCCG